CTGGTTGGCGACCTGCACACAGCAGGGGGTTGAAACGAGATGGTCACCGTGGTCCTTTTCAACGCAGCCTGTTCTGTGATTCTATGATCTGGTCCTGGCCTGTCTGGGCCGGACTGGGCGAAGAGGAATTGCCTGGTGCCACGGATGCGCTCTAGAACAGAGTGAACAGCAACAACACGTGCACTTCATTTAGATGTATTTTTGGAACAAGCTAAAGGAGAAGACAACGAAATCATCAAGCTGGTGGCTGCGCCTTCCCAGGCGGAAGGGACTTTCTGTGCATTTCCCCGCTGGGATTCTCTCCCTTGCAGGTGACGCTGATCAAGGCCCAGGAGCCCCGGGCGGCACGGGGCTGGCACTGAGAGCTCGGTCCATCTGCAGGGGTCGGCAGCGTGCGCTCCAGCTTTTTCCGGGCTGGGGTGCGCGGCCGAAAAGGCGTGGAGGGCGCGGCTCCGGGCCGGCCGGGAGACGTCCCAGCACCGATGACGTCCCCGGAGCCCGCGTGCTGTCACAATGCCGACGCCGGGCCCTCCCCGAGGGCAGCTGGCCGCCGGCTTCAGGCGCCCCATTCGTGAGCTGCGCTGCCCGCAGCCGCTCGCCGTGCCCCGTGCCCGAGAGCAGCCCCAGCAGCAGACTAGCTCAGCCTCGTCGCGCTCGTCCTCCAAGGCTCACAGAGGTGAGGGAGAGCTCCGGCACGCCTTGGGCCGCAGAGCCCGGCCGCGGGGTGCGGGCTGAACTCCGCCGCGCGCGAGGGGCGTGCGGCACGAGAGCGGCAGGACCGCCGTGAGCAGCAGAAATCGCTGCCGGCCCTTCTGGCTCGGGAGCCGCAAGCCACGCGGCGGACAGCTCGCGGCTGAGCGGAGGAGACAGCCCGCTCCTGCCGGCCCCTCCGGGCTCCGAGCGGCGGGCGGCGGCAAGCGGAGCTCACCCGCGGCCTCTGCCGGGGCAGCCCGGCACTGACTCCTCTGCTCTTGCCTGTAGGTTTGGAGGCACGCGCCTGCCAGCATGGACGGAGCCTGGGTGGGGACGTGGAGACCGCATCGCCCGCGCGGCCTCATCTCGGCCCAGGTCCCCAGCCCCGGGCCCCAGTACTCCATCCCGGGGACAACAGGTACGGCGGCCATCGCCGGGGTGCAGGGGGACGCGCGTCGGGGCCGTGGCGGGGCAGAGCAGCTCCCGAGCCTTTCCCCGTGCCGTCGGAGCCTCCCGCAGACTCGGCGCTCTGGGGGCTCTCTCTGCGGAGTGCCTGCGCGCGTGGTGTGGGCAGGCCTTTGGAAACTGCTGGCCACAGGCAGCTCGCTGGCCAAAGCTCTGCTCTCTCCTTCGGGCGGCTTCGCAAGGCTCTGGCGCAGGCGTTTGCTCTCAGGGACTGACTCTTCTGCTTTTCCTCCTAGGTTTCGTGGGCCACAGCCCCACCAAAGCCCGTGCCCCCGCGTACACGTTTCGCGGGACCAAGCCGCCTGCGGCCGAGAGCTGCGGGCCAGGTCCCTGCTACTTTGTGCAGCCCGCCGTCACCAGGAACGGGAAGCACGTGGCTCCGAGCGCCCACCTTTGTGGACGCCCCACGACGAAGACCACCGTCACCCCCGGACCCAGTGAGTACCACTTCTGCAGCGCTTCCCCCACACGCGGCGTTTGCCCTGGGTCAGCTCGCGCCCTGATGGAGCCGTCGGTCTTTTGTGAGAGAGCACAAACCGCTGTGAGCAGCGATAAACACGCCCTCCCCTCGGAGAAGGACGGCTGCCCAGCACCACGGGCTGAGGGCACAAGGACCCCGCATCCAAAAAGAACAGAGAGCCAGGGGCTGACAGGAGGGACAGCAAGGCAGGACATAGTGGCGGGGCACGGAAAAGCATCCCCGCGTGCTGCCTGCTCCCCCCAGCAATCCTGCAGCCCTTCAGAAGACCCTTTCCTCGGGACGTTGTCTCTGCGGCTGCAGGAGACCAGCACTTCACGGCTTTCTTCCTCTTCTCCTCCTCCCCAGGTGACTACCGCACCGAGGCAGCCAACAGGCACATCTTCAAGTGCCCACCGGTGCAGTCCATGGCCTTCCGGCGGGAGCCCCTGCGCACAGACCGCCCTCCAGGTACGCTGACCCCAGCAAAGGCAGACCCTTCATCCTGAGCATCCTGCAGGGACGGGCTGCTGCTCAGCACCAGCAGCGGGCCGACCGCGCAGCCTGCGCAGCGCTGGGGCTGCAAGCTTTCTGGCGTGACCAGCACCTCTCGGCCCGCAGCGGCTCCGGCTGCTCGGGCTCGGAGCTGCCGGCACTGGCCCAGTGCCGGAGTAGAAGCAGGAACTGGCAGAGGGGCGAGCCCTCCCCCCAGCAGGCTGGGTGGGCTGCCCCTCTCTGCTGCTTCCGTCTCCTCCAGCCCCTCGCGCACACGCTCTCTGCTGCTCCTCCTGCAGGTCCGGGCACCTACACGCTGCCCAAGCTGATGGGCCCCAATACAGCCTACACGGCGGCCAGCCCCTGCTACTCCATGAGGGGAAGGAGCCAGCGTGGCCGCTTTGACGAAGACCTTGCCAAGGTGAGCTCTGCTGCTCCTCTTTTCCATGTTAGCATCCGAAGCTGGGCTGCTCTCCCTGTGCCAGGGGGCTTCCAAGCCCCAAGCACCTTTGCTTAATGCAGGCTTGCAGGGAAAGAGAGAGCCTTGCGTGTGATCCCAGCCCCGTGCACCCATGACTCTCTTGCAGACTCCGGGTCCCGCGGCGTTTCCCAAGGTAGCTGTGGACGCCTACAAGACCAGGGCGCCCGCGTACACCATGGCGGCCCGACCAAAGCCTGCAGAGGGCAAAGCAGTGAAGCCCGGGCCCGCAGACTACAACATAGGCCGGGTAAGGCAGCTCGCTGCTCTGCTCGTCCCCTCTGTTTCACAAGCACAGCCTTCACGCCTCTCCCCCTTGCCCTGAGGCTTCCTCCGGCCAAAGAGCTTCTGGCCGCAGGGACCAAGTGCCGGAGAGCAGGCCTGCTCCCTGCCCTCGTGCCACCTCCGAGCAGAGGAAGGGAGGGCAGCAGAGAAGAGAAGGGCCCTTGCTGATCTGCCTTTCCTTTTTTTTGCCCTTGCAGGTGACGCTGATCAAGCCCCGGGCGCCTGCATCCACTTTTGGAATCCGGCATTCCCTCTACACAACCCCTCTGATTGTGGAATAAAACAGCCACGTCTGGAAGGCCGCCTCTGCTTTCCTGGCATGGGAGGGGACGGGAAGACACCAATCAACTGCCGGTTTCCACTTGATTCCATTTCCATCTATGGACTTGATGCCATTTCCATCTAT